AGACATGGAGGAAGCTTAAATACATATTACGGTATGAAAGGTTTCAACATGCAAAGGTTATATACTGTATAATTAAGGAAAAGAAAAAGTATGGAGACAGTTAAAAGAATCAGTAGTTGCAAGGGTTTTGTGGGAAGGAAGTACAGACACGTGGAGCACAGAATAATTTTCAGGCAGTAAAACTACTCTGTATGATATTACAGCGATACATGTAAGTCATTGTAAATTTGCCACAACTCATGGAATGAATGATACCATGAATGAATTGTAATGCGAACTGTGGGCTTTTGGTGATAATGATATGTCAATGTAGTCTTGTGGATGCTAATACTCATACTACTGAGTTGAAAAGTTTTGATATTAGAGTAGGCCACATGTATGAGGGAACTTGGGGGGGTATGGAGATCTCTGTGCCTTTTGCTCTATTTTTTTGTGAACCTAAACCTTCTCTTTAAAAGTTTATTAAAAGTATGGAGGCCCTCTGTCTCTCTCCACCCATACCCCCTGCACCCCTTTTGCCTTCTGCCATGGAATGACATAACAAGAAGGCCCTTACCAAACACAAGAGCCGTGATAATGAATGGACTTTCCTGTCTTCAAAACTGTGAGCCAACAAATTTCTATTTATTATCAATTTTAAAAATATGGAGGGAAAAAATGCCTGGGCATTAAAATTATTTTGAGTCCTTGAATATTAGGAAAAGTTCACATTTTGCCCTCAAACTTCGTTGATAGCTTTTCTAGGGGTGAAATGCTATGTTGAAAATTATTACTTTAAGAATTGTGAAGAAGTTGCTTTCTTGTTCTTCTAATTTTGGCTGTTTCTATTAAGAAGTTCCAGTCCATTTGGATTCTGGCTTCTTTGTAAGATAATTGTTAATTGGGCTTGGTATATTTTCACTCATTAGCTTCTATATCCCATAAATTTTTAAAATTTTATTGTTTATCTTTTTTTATTTCTGAAATATCTTGAATTATTTGGTTGTTTTCTTCCTGTGTCTTTTTTCTGTGTGTCCCTTTTAGTCTCTTTATAGATATTTGACTTTGTGGATGAGCCATCTGATTATCTTTCTCATTTTCCACCCTTATAAATATTACCCTGTCTTATGTAATTAAAAATACTTCATCTTCCTGGACCTCTTATAGTTTTTTTGTTTTTTAAACTGTCTGTTTCTGTTTCCTCCAAAATTTTTTATTTTATATATTTGCCTTTTTGATCTTATCTCACAGTCTTTCCTGGGTGTCAGGTAAATATGGGTTTTCTGTGCCAATTTAACTGTTGGGAACTAGTTGGACTTGGTGAGTTTTGTAGGTGGGGTTTGTAGATGATGTGTTTCCCTATAACATGGCTGGGCTGGTCCATGTATTTTGAGGACCTCTAAAAGTGCCTCTCTCCAGGGTTTCTGCCTGGGGAAAAGATTGTTTGGCACTGTTTGGGGGGCTGAGTTTGGAGAGGCAGATGGTTCTCAGTTTCTGTTTGTATGTGTTGCTTATGTAACCAATGATACCATTATGACCTCGCCCTCATGCTGGATAATAAATATCAAAAAACATTTTGTGCAATTACTCATTATTAATTTTCTTGACTAAAATCACCATCTTGCTGGTGCTTTCTATTTGTTCTATCTAGTCTTTTTTTCTTTTTCCCATTTTACTGCCTGCTTTTAGATTATTAGCATTTTTTATGATTTCGTCACTACTATTGATTTATTTTTTTAACTTAATTTTTTTTTGTTTAGTGATTGCCTTAAATTTAGGTTATACATGTTATCACACTTTCCTTTAAATAATATTATGCTATTTCATGAGCACTCAGTAGAGGTCCCTAGAGAGGAACCCACAAGTGCTTATGAAATCCTGTGACTTTAGTTCCCAGAGGTTGTATACTCTTTCAAGTAGCTTTTACTTAGTTTTTAGGAGTTTGATGAAATTTTTAGCTGTCTTCTTACCTGACTATATGAGCACACAGTGTCTCTTCCTCTTGAGATCTGCCATAGGTGTGCCAGTGATTATATCCTCTCCTCTTTTTTGGGAAGATATCTATTTTCTCAGACTTAAGACTCCCTAGTTGTTTGATTATCTCAGCTCTTTAGCTCTGATAGGTTGAAGAAAAAGTTGTTTCATTATAATTTATCTGGTCTTCTTTCCTTCCTTCTTTCTTTCCTTCCTTTCTTTTTTTTTTTTTAAATATTTTATTTTAAAGATGTGGAATACAAGTCAGGATTTGGTATACAGGTAGTACAGGTAAAGACATTGTACAGGTAAAGTTTGAGCCTCCCTTTGGTTCCCACTTTGCCTGGTTTGAGGTCAGGTACCCTTATTGATGTTGTGTCCCCCTCACCCCCCCACCCAGGCAGAATCCCTCTACTGCCTTCTTTCTTCTTTTGAGATGTGTTCTCACTCTGTCACCCAGGCTGGAGTGCAGTAGCATGATCATGTCTCACCACAGCCTCAACCTCTGGGCTCAGAGATCCTTCTACGTCAGCTTCCTAAGTAGCTGGGATTCTAGGTGTCCAAGCCCAGCTAATTTTTTAAAAAAATTGTGTGGAGATAGGGTATCTCTAAGCTGCCCATGCTAGTGTTGGACTCTTGGGTACAAATATTCCTCTCTTCTTGACTTTCCAAAATGCTGGGAGTACAGGTGTGAGCCACGGCTCCTGGCCTATGAGCACTTTTAAAGCAATCCAGGGATCTGTTTGCTATCTTGTCCCTCTGGAATGAGTCAGAAAAAGTCAGCATTATTGCTAGCCCCTTCTGGGATTTAGCCTCATGTTAATGAGAACTCTCTCTGCTGTGCATCCTTCATTCTTAGATGATACTGGGTAAAGGTTCATGGAAGTACAAAGTGAAGGTTGGCCAAAAATCATCTCAGCTTATTCAAATGCAACTACTGTTGATAATACTCTTTTGAAAAATGAAAACACCTGGGAAATGTGATGCAGTGTATCAGAATAGAAGGTGTTAGACATTGGAGATCTCCAAAGGTGGGGCGAGGGCAAGAGGGGGTGAGGGATAAAATACCTGTTGGGTACAATATACACTATTTGGGTGAGGGCTACACTAAAGATAAATGCTCAGACTTCATCACTACACAATATATTCATGTAACACAATGGTGCGTGTACCCCTTAGATCATGAAAAATTTAGAAGATGTGAACTGGAACTTTTCTGGGCAAATTAAGATTCTATGTATATTTGGTTATATTTTCTTGTTCATTAATTTCACAAACCACTGTGATTAGCTTTTGGCACAGGGGACTAGATGCATATTCATATTTGTTGCCTTTCAGCAGTCCTTACTTGTATACGTCCTTTCTAAAATGCGAATCTGCCAAATGCCTCAAACCGCCATAGCTTGGCATGGCACCTTTTGGCTTAAAGATAATCCTCCTCCTCCAACTGTATTCAGCCTTCAAGATGTAGGAGATCGGATCATTTCCTCTGATAGGCTTTACCTGATGCCCTCAGAAGGTTAAGTATTTCACTACTGGGCTACAGCTAGACATTCTAGTACTGTGTCTGTCACATTCTGTTGCAAATTATTTGTCAGAATTCAGCCTCTTCTTTAGACTAGAGTTCCTTGAGTGTATAATATTAATACTTGTGTCATTCACCTTTTTACATATGTGGTACTTAACACAGAGCTTGGAGACAGAGGAGGTATTTCATGAGTTTTATTCAACTGAGTTATATTATTGCTTGGTTATTTTGATGATTTGCTTAAAATGCTAAAAAATGTTATCTGTATTTTACTGAATCTATAAGGACTTGAATTTTTTCTCACAGTGAAAGACTGCTGTTTTTCCATGTTTATAAACAAAATGCAAATCATTTAAAAAGGATATATTGATATTTTGAGTATTAAAATGAATAAGAGAACCATGACCTGTCAATGTCTTGATTATAAATATAAGATATGTGCCGGGCTCGGTGGTTCAGCCTGTAATCCCATGCCTTTGGGAGGCTGAGGTGAGTGGATTGCCTGAGGCTGTGGGTTCGAGACCCACCTGGGCAAGTTGGCGAAACCTCATCTCTACAATAAATCAAAAATTAGCCGGGTGTGGTAGCGCACACCTGTAGTTCCAGCTACTCGGAAGGCTGAGGCGGAAGGATCGCCGGAGCCCAGCAGGTTGAGGCTGCGGTGGCTGGGAGCGGCCACTGCACTCTAGTCTGGGTGACACAGTGAGACTCCAACTCAAAAAAAAAACCATAAATAAATAAATATAAGATATGGGGTTTGGATTTTATAGAGATGTATATTTTACTAACAGTTCTGATACAATAATCCCCAGTCTTGCCTTCAGGCATTTTATAAACATGTTTGGAAAGGTAATTTATGAACAAAGGGAATAGTATTATATCTATCTGACACCTGAAACTTGAGGAATCTCAAAACCCTTATGACAATTGCAAATATTATTTTTTCTTTAACATACTTTTCTTTTTTAAGAATTTTTTATTTTAAAGATGTGGGGTATAATTCAGGGTTAGGTATACAAATATTCATTATGCAGATACCCTTGTTGAAGAGTGTGTCCCCTTCCCTCTCCCCTGGCAGTTTCCGCTACTGCCCATCCACCCCTTCCCTCTCCTGGCAGTTTCCCACTACTTCCAATCTCTTTCTTATAGTATTATGATAATTGTTCAGGGTCTGGTTATGAGTGAGAACATGTGATAGTCTGTTCTTTGTTTCTATGATAGATCACGCAGTATTACAGACTCTAAGTTCATCCAAGTTCATAATTTTGTCCTTGTTTATGGCTGCATAATATTCCATCTTGTATATGTACCACTTTTTTTAATCCTTTACTATTTATTTTGGTTTTAGTGAATGGGGGAGTTATTTTATAACATAATTAATAGCTGATTAAATTGTGAGTTCTCTAGGGTCTTTTTATTTGCAAGTGGTTATTAAATAAAAGGCTTAGTTTTATTTAAAATTGGGTTGTAGTTTAACTCTTTCTGTGTATGTGTGTGTGTGTGTGTTTTCCTACACCAGTGTAGCGACTATGACCTGGAATTTGGAACTGAGTGCTTGCAATTGGCTCTAAAATACTGCCACACGAAAGCCAAACTTGTGGAAGGATCACCTGACCTCTGGAAGGTAAGAGACATGGTACTTTGCTCGGGCTCTTCTCTCTCTCTCTCTCTCTCTCTGTGTGTGTGTGTGTGTGTGTGTATGTGTACATTTGGAAATAACACTGGGTTTACTGTGTGATATCATTTCTCTTGCTTATTTTCAAGAAAGTTTTACTTTGAGATAATTTATTTAAGCAAACTCCATTTTAGACCATAAGATTGGTTTACTCACTTTTTCTTGCTGTCTGTGGATAGCTTTTTATTCCATTTATTCAATTTGATTAAAGCTACAACTCTGCCTACAATATCAACATTTCCTTCTAGACCCTGGGGTGGTTGCTCCAACTGAACTGTATTGAAAGGATATCTGCCACAGTTCTGACCTACTCTCTCTCCCCTGGAGGAATCAAACTCTCTCCTGTGACAAGGCCCAACTCTTCTAATAGCACGCTTTCCTTCTTTCTTTCTTTCTTTCTTTCTTTCTTTCTTTCTTTCTTTCTTTCTTTCTTTCTTTCTTTCTTTCCTTTTCTTTTCTTTTCTTTTCTTTTTTTTTGAGTCAGAGTCTCACTCTGTTACCCAGGCCAAAGTGCAGTGGAATACTCATGGCCACCCTAGTGTCGACCTGCAGGGCCCTGGTGATCCTTCCGCCTCAGCCTTCCAAGTAGCTGGACCTAGAGGCATGCATCACTATACCCAGCTAATTTTTTTTTTTTTTTGAGTTGGACTCCCACTCTGTCACCCAGGCTGGAGTGCAGTGGCACGCTCATGGGCAACCACAGCCTCAACCTGCTGGGCTCAGGTGGTCGTTCCGCCTCAGCCTTCTAAGTAACTGGAACTACAGGCACATGCTACCATACCTGCCTGGCTAATTTTTTGATTTATTATAGAGATAAGGTCTCAATAGACCAGGCTGGTCGTAATTTTTTTATTTGTTGTAGAGATGAGGTTTCACCTAGTTGCCCAGGCTGGTCTCAAACCCTTGGGCTTAGACAATCCTCTCTCCTCTGCCTCCCAAAGTGCTGGAATTACAGGCTTGAGCCACCATGCCCGGCCCACACTTATTTATTTAGGAGAGAATGGAGTAGTTGTTATAAACAAGATAGTAGCACTATCATACTACAGCTTCTTATCAAGGCCATGTTATAGGGTGACTCTCTTTTGTTTCATTAAGGTAGAAATGAATTGAATTGGATAATACATTCTAAAATGAGTTGTAGAGCCATTTTGTAAGTATTAAATAAGGTATTGCTGGTAATGGAATCTTGCAAATCTATATGAAACATTCACCAAAATCTAATTATTAATGATTCATTTAAATTCTGCGATTATTAGTCTATAAGCATATTTCCTCTTTTTTAAAAAAAACAAAAAACAGAAAGCCCTATAAGTTGATCAGGTATTTTGCACAGTAACATGATGGGCCTTACTACATGCTAAGTTTGCTTTAGATACATTTAAACTGTTGAATTTAATATTCCAAGATATTGGCACGCTTGGAAGATTGCCTGGTAGAGAAAACCCATGTAGTAATATTTCTTGTTTATGGACACCTAAATGCCATCAACCCAGCAGGCAGACATTTTATTCATTTTGTTTATTCTTTTCTATATGTGATTCAATGGTGGTATAAATATAAATTATGAGGATTTTGGCAATTACCATTTAGATGTTTTGTTAAAGATTCTGACTCACGTCTCTGTAGAGCTTCCTCTGGCTACCTGCTAGACATAATTTTGAAGGCCAAGTGAATAAATGCAACTCTAGGGCATTTTCCTGCCACTGACACATCAATACTCTTTGGCCTCTCTTTTGATATCATTAAGGGTGGGATTATTTACCTCCTGTGGGTGTTCTGAACCTTCATCAAACTTGTAAAGTACTTTGTGGATAAAAGGGAAAGCAACATATTATTCTTTGAATTTTCCATCTTCACAAATTTCTTTCTTTTATTGTGTGAAATGCTTGTATTTACCTGTTCTTTCCAGCAAGACAATATTAGCTCTCAAATACGTCTTGACTCTCTGACTTTCTTTTATGTGCAATAAATGTCAATATGCTCTGGCATGTTTGGCCCTTCCACAGTGCTTCACTTGGTCCCAGTGGTGAGTCTTGGAACATGCTGTTGTGGGTTGAATTGTGTCCCTTCCTAAAAAAAACGTGTGTAGAAGTCCTAACCCCTGGCACATATGAATGTGACTTTATTTAGGAACAGGATTTTTGCAGATATAATCAAGTTAAGATGAGGTCATATTGGAGTAGGGTAGGCCCAGAATGTGACTGGGATTCATGTAAAAATAGAAAAGACACAAATACAGGGAGAATGCCATGAGATGATGGAGGTGGATGTAGGAGTGATGCATCTGTAAGCCAAGGAATGCCAAAGATTACTGGCATTACCAGAATGTAGGAAGAGACCTTCAGAGGGAACATGCTTCTGCCTACATCTTGATTTCAGAGGCCTAGCCCTCAGAACTGTGAGAGATTATCACTTTCTGTTTTTCTAAGCATCTCAGTATGTGGTCCTTGGTTACAGCAGCTCTAGGAAACACCCTCAAAGGGGTGACACTCTTTCAGGCCTAGAGGAATCAATGTCATGGTATCACATCCTAAACTGGACGGAGGCAGACAGCCCAACTCTTATTAACAAAGTTTGAACAGTGATGTGCTTCAAAGGGATCTTGAACTATAAAAGGCCTGCAATGAAGTACGTTAAGCAAAATGTCATGTAAATAGTCGTTACAAGATTATTTTGGGGGGAGGGACCACTTTTCTGTTAAGAGAGGCAAAATTATTGAGTGCAAATATTGCAATTGTATTCAGGTTCTCTATTTCCTTTTTCTGCCTCTTGTCTTATCTTCTACTTCTGGTATTTTTTTCTTTTTTAGCTGACGATTTAGACCCTTTTGATAATATTTTATGATTTGTCTTTAATAAAGGCTTTTACTTTAATTTTGCATGAAGAGTATTTTAATTGCTGTTTAAGCCACAACAATGCAGTTTATACTTTGAAATTAGTGTTCTAACTTTATTCTAATTCCAATGATGCTGCCATGTAAAAAAATTTGGATGTGAAACATTTTAAAACAATTATGGTAAAGCCAGTACTGGACCCAGGTGGGAGGGCCAAGGACTGGGAACATGATTCTGAAATCTGACACATTGGAAGACATATTTGGATATAACTGAGGCTTTTCACTGCCGTGAAACAGTAAAGCAAGGGAGGATTCAGAAACTGGGCAATGTATCTTCCCCTTCCCCTCAGAAGTCAGGAGGTTAACTCCACAGTGATATGAAGACTGATGAGAAATTTCTGATTTACTGCATGTGGGACTACTTCAGCTGCAACCAGAAGTTCCAGAATTATTTTGTGTATCACGTATTTTGGTGAAAGTAAATGTAAATAATTAAACATTCAGGGGTGATGCCAACCTTTCTGTGTTAGCTCCTCTCAGGTCAGGAGAAAGCATCAGTTTTTCAAATCACCATGCAGGATAGAGAACATCCCCCTAGCATGATCATAGCACCCCTTCTTCCCACCAAGAGTGATCAACACGGAAGAGAATAGGACTGGCTACCAGGAACAGGGTTCCGCTCTCATGCTGCCCTTGAGTGGTCGCATCTTGAGGGTCTCTGTAAACACTCTCTTTTTAGTGAGATTTCATCTAGCCTACATAAGAACTTCAGTGCCTTTAATTAATCATTGTACCATATTTTGACCCAATATACTTTTCATCACTCAACTTGGTCACTTACTACACTATGCAGACTTAATTGAACAGACTTCTTGTTTCTAAATGGCAAAACTATCTTCAAGGCATAAAATATTACAACCAATTATTGAAAAAAATTAACAACTGTGTTTCATTGTCTAAAAAATGCTTCTTCAGAAGGAGTTTCTGAAGTATTTATGTCATCCCAATATTTTAGAAAGAATGACTTTTGAAGATTTCTTTTGATGGGAAATACATTTTTTAAGAGTCAAACATTCTAGCATCTTTGTTTAAAAATGAAAGAAACAAAATAGTCATTATTTGGGTTTCTAACCTCAAAAATACACAGTGGTGGCATTGTTTCTTTTTAGAAGTTTTCATATAGTTATCTAGTTTAGAGAAAATGATATTTTACAGATGTACATGATTGATGAAATGGAAATAAAGTTTCAAAAAAATCTGTATATTAATAAACAGTCCATATCTTACTTATCAAATGTAAGTTATTCTGCCTTTTTTCTAGTATTGGTGTTATATATTTATTGTGAGGAGAAAGGTAGGAGAACATTAATTGTATTTTTACTTAACTTGTAGAAAATGGTAGTCTCCTGGGCTTGACTCTGTTCTGAAAGCTCTGTTTTATAATTTCACGTCTCAACACAGAAAGAGCAACAAAATGTATGTGTGATAGTGTCAACCAGCAGCTGAGAGAATTCTGGCCTAGGAGTGAGAAGACAGTTATGTCTATAGCTCTGGGCATCAGGATTCTCTTCTGTTGACTTTTTTTTAAGTTAAGCATGTTACTCAGGTGAAAATATTGCACAGAAGCACAATCAAACTAAACAGAAATTGAGCTGAACTAGGTGAGTGCCAGATATTTGACTGGAATCTCACCTGCACCAAACATCTTGACTGTTTCTCAGGTGGCCCCTGAGGCTCTAGAAAGCACAGTTTGAAAACTAGTGAATTAGAGGATTGACATTCTCTTCCATCACAACAGGACTGACTTTTTTAAAAGGTAATTTTTTTATAATAGGGTATTGTGCAAAGTCAAAGGAAGACTACACATCATGCTGACAGAATAAAATCCACTTTAAAACTGACAGGGTGTTGGTTTTTAATTAAAAATAAGGAAACAACCCATGTCATTGAAAGTTAAATGGAAAAATGAAATAATTCATCAATTAAGAATTACAACATTTTCCAGTAATATTCCCTTTAAAGTAGGCTAGCTGTTGTATTTAGGGGAAAATAAAGTTATTCTTGAAATGGGACTTTAAAAGTTAAGAAATCTTTTTTCAAGTATATTTTTATTAAATCAGTATTTGTGGAAGTACTGTTGAGGTATTCAACAACGTTTTATGTAGGAGATGTTAATAAACATTTTTAAAAAGTCTTGATCTGTATATAGTAGGTATCCACAGGCTATAAGAAAAAGTAGACAGAAAAAAATAAATTTAGGAGTCTTTCCTGTCCATCCAGTTGATTGCTTAATATTTGAGGGGGAAAAAAGTCCTTGAGGTAATGTAAAAATTCAGTCTTGCAAATATTCCAGAAAAGTCACTTTAGTATTTGTGAATATCTTTGCTATAAATTTAGAAATCTATCATTAAGACCTGCTTGAAAAAAAAAAAAAAAACTTTTGTATTTATCCTATTTAAATTTGGAATGCATTTATACTCCTCAAAGAAAGCAGGAGGGAATAGAAAATGAATCATAATACTCAGGCTTATTCTCCTTAATTTCTCTGTTCTACGTTTACCCTACACATTAGACAATTATTGTAGACAATTTTTCTTATTTACATTGCAAATATTAATGAGGCCTGATTTTAGATAAGTAGTTAACTTTACTTTTTTCTTTTTTTTTGAGTTGGAGTCTCACTCTGTCACCCAGACTGGAGTGCAGTGGCCGCTTCCGGGC